AACAGGTACGTAACACCTAGTATGTTTACTAGTGATGTTTCCGAACCTTACGAAATCTTAAAACGCTCGATTCTTAAACGAGGAGACCTAACCGATCGACAAAGGTTAGATCAACTCTTCAATAACATCGACCTGCAACACGGTTCTGCGACGGACATGTTGCAACGGATGAGAGAGGTTATAGGCCCAAGAACTTTCGACGAAGGTCTATTCAAACAACTCTTCTTGTCAAAACTTCCCCAACAGGTGCAAGCAGTTCTGGTCTCGTTCCAGAACAACGCCTTAGACGAGCTAGCTGCATCTGCCGACCGTATTCTAGAAATTACGAAACCTTCTACTACCGAGGTATTTTCAGTCAAAGAAAAGCCTCAAACGACTCAGAATGATATAACCGACTTATGTCACACACTCACGCGTTATCTTAGTCTTCGTACCGACCGTAAGAGATCGCGCACACCACGTAGAAGCATTTCTCGTAAGCGATCTGTCTCTAGACCACGAGAGACAGATAACCCCGACTGGTGCTGGTATCATAACCAGTATGGAAAGTTTTCCAGAAATTGCAGAAAACCCTGCAATTTTCCCAACACGAAACCGACTGGCTCGAAAAACAACTCGGGAAACTTCCAAGCCGGCACGCGTTAACGGCAACCGTAGCCGGCGAACATAGCCGTCTGTTATTCGTCACAGATGTGACAACGAGAGTTCGCTACCTCGTCGACACTGGCGCAGAAGTTAGCGTTCTCCCAGCAAATCCTAACGACCGACTTCACGAATCGACTCTAAACTTACAGGCGGCAAACGGAAAACCGATCGCTACGTATGGCAAAAGGTACGTTTACCTTAACGTGGGTTTACGCAAACCCATCCACTGGATTTTCGTTGTTGCAGATGTTTCTATGCCAATCATTGGTATGGACCTTCTACAACACCACAATCTGATCATCGACACTCGCAAACGGAGGCTAGTAGACGGAAACACTAATTTGTCCGTTTGCGTAACTTCTTTTACTGGTTGTAGAGTATCCCCAGTCACAGTTAAGCATATGATAGACCCACTCTATCAACCACTACTCGATAAGTACCCTGGGATACAACAAACGCAACCGAAACTACCGTGTGTAACCAGCAATGTTACACATCACATCACGACTACAGGACCACCTGTATTCTCTAAAGCACGACGACTAGCTCCTGAAAAGCTAAGGTTAGCGAAAAACGAATTCGATCACATGATGGACTTAGGAATCATACGACCGTCAAGTAGCCCATATGCATCTCCGTTGCACATGGTCCCTAAAAAGGACAGCAACGATTGGCGTCCAACTGGTGACTATCGGCGATTGAACGCGAAAACCATTCCCGATCGTTACCCGTTGCCTCACATTCACGATTTGACAGCTACCTTGAAAGGTACAACTGTCTTTTCGAAAATCGACTTGGTTAAAGCGTATAACCAAATCCCTATGGCTACTGACGACATACCGAAAACAGCTATCATAACTCCCTTCGGACTCTATGAATTTTTGCGAATGCCTTTCGGTCTAAGGAATGCTGCTCAAACATTCCAAAGATTCATAGACGACGTTTTTCGAGGTCTCAACTTCGTACACGCGTATGTTGACGACTGTCTAATCGCAAGTCCGGACAGAGAAACACATCTCAAGCATCTGGATCTTGTTTTCGAACGATTACAAAAACATGGCATAACTGTAAACGTTCAGAAATGCCAATTCGGAACCGACTCGTTAGACTTTCTGGGACACACTATCGATGCTCAAGGTATCCGACCCCTTAGAACCAAAGTGGCGGCCATTCTGGATTACCCAGAACCGACCACCGTCAAGCAATTACGCACGTTCAACGGCCTGGTAAGTTTCTATAGACGTTTCATACCGAAATGCGCATTACTTATGAAACCTCTGACCGACCAACTTCGTGGAAATGCGAAATCCATTAATTTGGACGACACCGCACGAAAAGCATTCTCCACAGTTAAGGAACTGATCGCTAAAGCAACAATGCTCGCACATCAGGACACCCGAGCACCCATTAGCATCGCAGTAGACGCATCCGACTCGGCAATCGGAGGAGTCTTACAACAATGGGTTAACAACTCCTGGCAACCCTTGGCATTTTTCTCTAGAAGGTTGCTAGACACCGAATCGAGGTACAGCACATTCGGTAGGGAACTCCTAGCTATGTATTGTGCTGTACGGCATTTCCAACACTATATCGAAGGCCGTGAATTCACTCTTTTCACGGACCATAAACCGCTCACTTTCTCGTTAAGCTCTCCTTCTGACAAGTACTCTCCCCGTGAGTCTCGACAACTGGACTACATTTCGCAGTTTACTTCAGATATTCAACACATCTCTGGAGCAAACAATGTAGTTGCAGACGCTTTATCTCGCATAACTTCCTTGAACAGTTTCCAAGGAATCGACCTTCTTAAACTCGCCGAGCTTCAAAAAGAAGACACTGATCTTCAGCACGAGTTATCGTCCACAACACTTAAACTACGCATCAAACAGATGGGAACAGGTAAGGAAACCTTACTTTGTGACACATCTACAGGTAGGGATCGCCCAATCGTGCCGAAACATTATCGACGCAATGTCTTCAACACATTGCACAAACTTTCTCATCCAGGTGTTCGTGCAACCATCAAGCTTATAGCAGAACGATTTTGCTGGCCTGGCATGAATAAAGACGTGAGGGAGTGGGCACGCTCCTGTGTAAGCTGCCAAAAATCTAAGGTTATCAGACACAATAAATGTCCCTTAGGCTCGTTTAAAACTCCCGATGCTCGTTTCGACCATGTTCATCTGGATTTGGTAGGACCTTTACCAGATTCAAATGGATACTCTTATCTCTTAACCTGCGTAGACCGTTTCACTCGATGGCCAGAAGCAGTACCTATCAAGGACAGCACTGCTGAAACAGTGGCCCGCACATTCGTCGAACGATGGGTAGCAAACTTCGGTTGCCCTTCAACCATCACTACAGACCGCGGACGTCAGTTTGAATCTGATCTTTTCCGTCGTCTGACCACACTTTTAGGAATCACTCGCTTCCGAACGACCGCCTACCACCCACAAGCAAACGGGTTGGTAGAACGTTTTCACCGACAACTGAAAGCTTCGCTATCAGCTGCAAACGTTTCACAATGGACCGACGCTCTTCCACTCGTCTTACTAGGTATCCGCAATGCAGTGAAAGCTGACATTGGATACACTGCGGCTCAACTCGTTTATGGAACGACACTTCGACTTCCAGGAGAATTCGTGGATCCTTCGTGCTCTTCGATGAACATGGATCTAACCTCCTACACGAACAGGCTTACAAACGCAATGCGTTCAGTTAAACCTGCTTCCACTCGACCTCAATCAACTGATGTTTTCGTTCAACCTGACTTACGATATAGTACACACGTTTTCATTCGTCGAGACTCGCATCGACGACCATTCGAATCAGCATACGAAGGACCCTTCAAAGTTCTTCAACGTGAATCTAAGTACTATATAGTCGATAAGAACGGAACCAACGATAGCATCAGCATCGATCGCTTAAAAGCAGCGTATTTAGAAGGAAATCCTATCCACGTCGATTTTCCTTCGGTACAATCGAACGACACGACTCAGACACTATAATACCTCATCCGACAACCAACACACGCGAAGATACTTCGACAGTATCCGAAAATAAACTTAAAACGACGCGTTCTGGAAGAAGGGTGAGATTTCCAGAACATTTAAACGACTATTGCACGTAAGGCACTTCTCGACATTTTATATTATTTTTTTAAAAAAAAACAATTTTAATATGCTTATATATTTTTATTTCTATTAAAAAAAACAAAAAAAAACAATTTTTTAACGCTATTACGTGCTCATGAGTTTATTTTCCTTTTTTTCCGCCGACATTGTGTTTTTACGCACATACGAGTGTATTTTCGACATGCACTTACATTTTCTTTTTTCTTTTCCAGGACGGCTGGAAAAGAACGATGACGTTTATGAGGATCCGAAATTTTCATTGTACATTTTCTTTTTTTACTATGTTGTACCTCCGTCCCATATAGTAAGGAAAGACGACCAGACGCTGCTAAATTTAGTAAGCTATCAGAAGAGTGTTTACCAACGACAAACTCGTTGGGTTTAAACTTCTGGCTGGCCACGTCTTAGGGTCGTCACTGCCCCACTAGGGGGGGAGTGATCTGTAGCGGTAAATAAATCCCCAAAATAAATAGCTCTGTAAGTTTTCGACATTGGATGCTGACCATATGTTTTAGTGGACTCATCTAGCTGAAGGCGCTCGGTCAGGCATCCGCACCAGATCACGTGTAGTAACGCCGTGCTCAACATCAACCACAATCGCTAGCCAGATTAGATCAGAGAATTCCGATATATTGGTCATCGCCAAATATACTCTTCCGATCTCCTCGACTCTGTCTTTTGATTTCTCTTGGTGGGAACGAAATATATTAGAAGGTGTTACTGGTAGAAGCGTTGTCAAACACTGAATACCTGTGACATCATCACTATAATTATCGTCGTTGATGTTAGTCCTTAATGAAAGTCCTACTGAAAATCTGACTACAAATTCAGAATCATAATCCTGGCACTATGAACCAGCACTTAGATTACGTAAGGGCTCATTAAACAACATGGAGATGGCAGCCCAAACAAATCAAATAATTTGTAATTGGATGTTATGAAATTTATCACAGTTATATTTATTGGTTGACTGCAAGGTAAAAACTTCTTCTCGCACAACTTCAGAAATGATTGTTTCCTGATTAACAAAAATCTACTATGATCGTTAACCGTTTTAAATTAAAAGAAAATCAAAATAATTACAGAAAATTTTGAGAGTGGTGAAAATACAGATAATTTGCCAGTTTCGCTCAAACAGAAACCGGACTTGCTAATACCATCACTCTTTTGGAGAAGAAGCGGGAAATGATAACCCATTGCTTTGTTCGAAGCAGTTTTCAAGGTGACTGGGTTTCTGTGCTCTGTTCGAAGCGGGTGTGTGTGACCTTAGGGATCTTTGCCTTGGTGAGTTGGTGTACTGTTTGCTACCACGAAGGATCAGTCAAAAGGCATCTTACGTCCTGCACTTATTAGTATAAACATTTAAGTCACCCGGCTCTATTATCATGACTCATTCGTTCATCGGTGAAATAAATCAGTAATTCAAATTGAAATACTAGGATAGAACATTTAGCATTCCAATCCTCAATTAACATCTCTTTCTTAGCAAGACTGTGTTGTGCATTTTCTGGCTGTCGGATTCACCGAAAAAATGGCAAGAACCGACTCCGTGCGCATGCCATCAAACCTGCTGCATAGCTTCTGCGATCTAATTTTCAGCGCTCTTAAAACCTTATTAGCCTCATATATGCGAACGTATTAGATTGAACCGCTAACGAACTTTGGTTTGACGTGTATATACCAGGTTTTAGTTGTTTTGAGGGACGAACTCGAACTTGGTAGGGGGGAATGTCGATCTGTTTGTTCCTTAGTATATACGTCTGACTTGTAGGCGTGGTCATCTGTGCGGCTATGGCCGCCCATAAAAGGAATAATTTGCCTTTCCTAATATGAGTATCTTATGTTCTACTTGTTTGTTTAACTGTGCGAGTTAGAAACCCCGTCTATGATGTATGTTGAGTCTGAATGAATGACATTAGAACTCATCTCATGACTTAGCTATTATCTGTTAACATAACATTAACCGATACCAGCTCTCAGTTAAAAATATTGCCTGGTGATGACATGTTTATCCCATTGTCATAAACTTCTAGTACTCATTACGCTCAAGTAGTCATTACTACTTGAAATTAGTGTATTTATCATTTTAGTAACCCATCTATATAAGGTTGTTTCCAGCTTTTTTTTTACTGATATCATAATATTTCGGTTAGCATAGATGTAACACTGTAAAAGTCACCCATACTATTAAAGTCGGATAGTAGTTAGCATTTAATTTCAAGGGGCGTACTTCATGTCACTTTGAACTTGTTATCTGGATGTGCCCGCACCCCATTGTTGATGTTCACACTAAAACTCGAACCCAGACATTTAAAGGTATTTCAGGTAATCTAGAAAAGGGAGGGCAGACAGGAAGCTGAAAGGCCGGTGTTAGTCCTGACAATGGAGCTTTCAGCTGTTGTTGTTTTCATGTGTATTGACAGGAGCTGTTACGGAGTGTTTTTCTGCCGGAGGGGAAGTTTCGATTGTTAAAATTGGAGAATAGAATACTAGTCAATAAATGAACTGCAGTGACATAATTTGACCGAGTGATGGCTTTTCACGAAAATGTATGATCGACCTGGGCCTCTGAATGATTAGAAATTAATGGAAAGACCACTAGCCATATGAGGAGCTCCTCATGTAGCAAAATAACATGGTTATTCATGTACGAAATATAAACACACGATAAACATGATAAAATGTCATAGGCGACCAAAGGAAATTCACTTATAGGTTACTTGTTCTCCAGTCAATTAAGACGTGATTGTTAAGCCTAATCTTTGGGCATCGTATCGAGCTTCGACCACATGAGATAAATAGTCCCACATATTGGTGATATTATGGGAGAGTCGGTAGTTACCCGAAAAATAACTGGTTTTGGAACTGTGAGTGTTTTCAGTCTCTTGACTAATTCGACGTCTTGAAATTTAAAAAAAACTGAGGGCATGTTCGATGAAAAATCATCAGTAAATAGTTTAAAGACTCATTAAGTTACCTCCGGCTCTTATGTATGGTAAGAGGAATATTTTTAGTTTGGTTAACCTATCATATTTCAGCATATTTCAGTCTTAATACATACTTTTAAACTACAGAGCACTGTTTCAGTTGGCGCACTTGGAAAATATTACTAAATAGTTCCTGGCTGATAACACAGATGAAAGTTCACGCTCATGTAAACTCTCCAAATCTAGTTCTTTTTGCAATACACTATTGAATTGTGGAAAGTTCATAATTGCAGTCACCATCCTGATTTTCTTATAAGTTTGGAGGATTTAGAAAATTCTCAATGCATTGAACGCTAACTGATTTCAACTTTTTTTCCTTCTAGGAAATGGGACGTAAAAAAATAGAGATAAAATTTATCAATGATGAAAAGAATCGACTGGTAAGTTAATTTAGATAACTAAACCTATTACTTCTTATATGATAGGTCACATTTGCAAAGCGTAAAAGTGGTCTATTTAAAAAGGCGTACGAGTTAAGCGTATTGTGTGAATGCGAAATTGCTTTACTAGTATTCACACGAAGCAATCGCCTTTATCAGTATGCTAGTGTTACGGTGGAGCATGCTTTACAAAGGTTGAAGAAACACCATCGTGCAAATGAATTCCTTAGTAATTCTGATATGGAGAGGGTAAGTGAGTGATTAGACTTCGTTGTTAGTATCAGCTGTATATTTTGCACCTTATATCTCTCCGACCACATGTTCGTCTACAGTATCTAACTTATCTCTTAGATCGAATACATATAGAAAGAGATGGAACAATCAGTGCAGTTTTCAACCTAAATGTTGATAATTACCGAAAACTATTTATACTAAGTTCCAGCAGATGTTGAACACATGTTTCATAGTTCTTAGTGAATTTTTTATGAATATACATAACATCGGACAAAATTAAGGAATAGGCCGTTTTCACTCATACAAAACCTTGTATAATATTTCTTCTGCTCAAATTCCTATTGGTACGTACATTCACAAAAAAACGAGTTATTGAAATGTCTGGAAGGAAAAGACGAATGGATAAAAACAAATATCTGGACAGTGGTTTGGCTTTGAATACCTGAAAAACAGTTATGTAGATATCTGTAGCTTTAATAGCTTATGGTTATCTACTTTAATTCAGTATTTGATAGACACTGATCAGGATGTTCCTCCTAACACGGATCAGATTAATAGTCTGTTATGTCATGAATTAATCCACTTCTTCTACAAACCACTATAAGGTTTCTGTTAATCCATCTTACCCATATTCACAGATGCAAGTTATAAAAATGCACATTACTAACCACATCAGTCCGTTTATGTTCATATCTTCACGTAGTGATTTATTTTCGTAATTAGAATTCATGATTGCTTATTTAAAGTTGTCAGTCTATGTTAGTTCTTAAACTCATACTCAAATATCTTTAGAAACTATATTTAACATTTTACGCTCATATTAATCATCGCTATATATATATCACTCATACTAATCAGTGTAGTTCATGTAATATGTACATGTTAATGTACTCGAACTTGAGCCCCTGTTTACTCAAAGGTTAGTAGTGCTTCTCAGCTACCTAAACTGAAACATGTGGAATAAGATTTAGAAATATGACGTACCGATTCGAAGCTGATTGCCTTAACCACCAAATCACCTCTCTACTCGTAAACGCATCATTTCTACAGCATTGATTTGGTTAGTACTTTCCGTTTGATTTAAGCCCTCGTCATAGTGTGTAACAAGTAGTTTCATTGCCAGTGAGCTATTCGGATTGCAGATTGTATGTCTAAGTTTTGATTAAGTGATCAATGTACTCTGTCACTTTCCAATGCTGATCACCTTTAAAAGCTTCACTTTTAATATATTTAGTATGATTCTTAAGCATTCCCAGATTTCCCTTCAATATGTGGGAAAAATATATCTTGTCAGTATCTTATTGTCTTACACCGCTACCTGTTTAGTAAATCCCTTCGTAAATGAATACTTGATTGTCTTATTCTGACCAAGTACAGTAGACTCTAGTTGCATTGTTTACTTCTTTTAAGTTAACATACACGTTATCCAGGTTCAGGCAAGTGCAAACGTTTCTATCAATTGAATATGACCATATGTTTTATCTATACATTATTTATTTATTTGAACACATAGATATTGGTACAAGGGGGCAGCAGATACATATGCACCACACAAATCTCATTTGATTTGTGTGAGGGCCGTGATACTGCCCGGGTGCCCAAACCGAAGCAGGTGGTTTTCTTAGGGGGCCACTCCCCGAGCCTTCGAACTGAAGGTCTGACCCACAAGGCAATGGAGCGTCGTGAGGAGATACAATCCCATGGAACCCGGTGACCAACAATTGATTCACACGCCATTTGTTCCTTCAGGATACTGGAGCCCATGTGCACCATTGGTTTGGAATCAGGATTTTCCAACTCCCCTAAGTGGACTCTCCATGTCCATCAACCGGGACATTCGCTTTTCGTCCTTTCAATTTCGTAAACAACACCCCCACCACGAGAAGTCAGTGAGTAGGACTTCCCTGACAGATGCTATATACGCGTGGCCATGTGAGAGCATTTAGGGAGAGAGAGAGAGCGGACTCTTTCCACTCTCGGCCATACCACTAGGTAAAAGGAGTGACCATAGGCTTTAAAAGTATTTTGTTTTTCTGGTTCAGGAGGAATGGTTTTTGGTGGGCACTCTTAAAAAACGAATCGTTTGAAGTATGTTTCAAAAAATAATTCAATCTATACAATGTATCCTACTAGGTATTTTAGTCTCTAACTGGTGTGTGCTACACATTTGGGTATTTAGGGTAAGTTTGGACTCTTTTACCAAAGCTTGTATTTATCTAGTGAATATTGTAATATTGGAAATATTATGAGTCCCTTCCTAGTCCATTCACATTAGTTTTATACAAGATGCCTTGTATACATAAATATAAATATTTTAATACCAACTTAGTTTCTATGAACACTGAAATACTATTAAAAACTATGTGCGTAGTTTCACTGACATGGAATAATGTCTTAATTGAAATTTAATTGAATATATTTGTCTTTCTGATTAATAATTAATGATCTTCATACCTCTTTTTCATGTGTTTTGTCAATTTTTATTTCAGTTAACAAATCGCCGCATGAGATCGAATTGTAACGGCGGATCCGGTGTTATCCCGTCACAGCCTTATTCAAATATGAAAAGCGAAGACAACGATGACGATGGCTGCGTTGACGAAGATGATGAAGATGAAAATGATGTGGAGCAACCTTCCATTGCAAATATAGAAAAGATGAACAATAACAATGGTTGTGATCAAATTTGTCAGCCAAGTGACGATGATAAACAGAAGTTTGATCAAATTGACATTCAATCAAATGTGAGATTTGTTGTTGAACCACAGTCTACATTTGGTATTCATCCTCGAAATTCAATAAATACTGTAACAGAAACTCATATGAGACCGGTAAGCTCAATGAGTTTACCACCTAATTCACTAATTTCATCACTAAACACAGTGGAAAGTGAATATTTGCCTCATATCCAACCTGTTCTTGTTTCTCACATATCATCAACTACAAAACCTAATTCCCCCTCTAATTCCCAACTAATTCATTATCCCAGATCATCACATCAACCAAGTCTGTGCTCCTCCTCAGTTTCTCCATTCACCTGTAATAATAGTGTTATAAATTCAAAGGTAGGTGGTCTAACTTTTATCTTATCTGATCTTACTGCTTACGAAAAACCATTTCCTGAAAATTTTTTTCATAAGCTTACTATTCAACACATTACTAACACTTCTGAAAATCAATATAAGGAACATTTTGTATCTGTAGAACTTACTCTTCTTCCCTGAATCTTATTGAGGAATAAATAGCATAACTATCTAATATTTTATCAACATCATTTCCTTATCTTTTATTGAGTGCTTAAGAGTTGAAAATACTATTTGTACCTCCTTTTCCTTATCTTAACTTTGACAATTTTTATATGTTAAATTTTAACTGGAACTTTTGTTCAGTTTTGCAGATTATTCGACTTCATTGTACTACTAGAGTTATGGGTGCAAATTAACCCTACCTACTTTAGACCAGACCAAAGAATAGTATTCTTAAGCTGCCCTCTAAATGCCATGGTACGACCAAAGGTGGGGAGAGTCAACTCTCCCTTTCGAGATGGTCTCACACGACGGTGCGTATACAGCCACCGCCAGGGGACTCCTACTCACTGCGTTCTCGTGTCGGGGGTGTTGTTCGCGAAACTGATAGGACGAAAACTGAATGTCCGGCTATTAAACTGGGTTGGTAGGTTCGGAGGATCCACTTGGGCGAGTAGGAAAACCCTGATTCCAAACCAATGGTCCGCATGGGCTCCAGGATCCTGAGGGAACAAATGGAGTATGAGTGCGAAAACAGTTAACTGTAAGGTTGTATTTGCAACCTAATTTGTCTATGGGGATAGGCAGGTGTAAAATGTTATTTAAACACTTTAAGTGTTCATTTAGACATATTATTTATTATTATTATTATTATTATTATTATTATTTTAACACATAAATATTGGTACAAGGAGGCACCAAATATATATGCGCCAAACAAATCACATTCGATATGTGTGAGGGCTGTGATACTGCCCGGGTGCCCAAACCGAAGCAGGTGGTTTTCTTAGGGAGCCACTCCCCGAGCCTTCGACCTAAAGGTCTGATCCACAAGGCAGTGGAGCATCGTAAGGAGATGCAGTCCCATGATAGCCGGTGACCAACGATTGGTTTATACGCCATTTGTTCCTTCAGGATACTGGAGCCCATGTGTACCATTGGTTTGGAATCCAGTTAAAGCGCCAGACATTCGCTTTTCGTCCTCTCATTTTCGTAAACAGCACCCCTGCCACGAGAAGTCAGTGAGTAGGACTTCCCTGACAAAGGCTGTATACGCGTGGCCATGTGAGAGCATTTGGAGAGTGTGGGCGGAATCTCTCCACTCTCAGCCGTACCAGGGCATTTGGGGGCATATAGACATATTACATATTGAATTACCCATTTCCTTCTCTAATATCTCAATTCTTCACCCTAATTAGTGTTAAGTGATAATTCAGCCTTGATATGATTTTGTCAAATTCGACATAATCAGTTCAGGATAGTAATTTTATAATTAATACGGAAAGAGTTTGTCCTTAACTGAAGCCTTTGGTATCATAATTCGTAGGATTTCCTTTCTACAAACTTGCTCAATCAACATCAACGGGATTTTCTCTATTACATGATCACTAGGGTAAATTCATTGATCAGTTTCGTTGACTAACTCCAACTATCAATGTTTCAAATAATTTTCATACTGAATCATTCATGTGTAAACATAATTCAATGTTGAATTATTTCAAGATACATACTTCCATTTTATGTATCGACAAAATTTAATTGTGACTCATTTAATTGATTAATTTAAACTAAAACGTTAGATGTAACCGACTGTTGTCATTAAAACACTGAAAGTCAGTTGATAAATTCTAGGCTAATTATCAACTCTTACATCCAAATAGTTCCACATAAGTTTTCCTACTGAAGTTTGATAAATGTTTGTGATGAGGCTCCATAGTTTGTTCAACTTTCATGGAATTAATTGTTATTACTAATAAGAGGCTACCGGTAATGAAATTGTGTATATTAAAGAATCATTATATGTAATGACATTCCTCAAGTTGATTAACCATTAAATTCCTTGAGATACTAGAATGCATGTTAAATGCCTAAGTGGTATCGTGGTTACATCCTTGAAGGTGAGCAGGATGCTTACTCTGGAATATAGTGGCAATTTAGTCTGTATAACAATTAAAGTTAACCAAAATATAATAAATCTTAACTCAGATAATATATTCCCTGTCCTCTAGATAAAAATGGACGAATACTGGAGGAGTTTTCTTAAGTTGTCGCTGAATAGTTATGATTATGGTGGGAATTTTGCATGTATTTATATTACTGTTTGTCTTGATTCCGAAGATAAGTTTCTAGAAACGCTATTTTAATGGGCCCAAGTTGAATGTTTGTGTATAGATCGAAATTTTTTCATGTCATTCGAGAAAATTCTACTTACTGAAAGCTTTGGCTAAATTTCTGGGAAGTCATTTACTGACACATTAGTATCCTACAGATGACAATATCCGAGGGTACTGTTATGGCCGAGACCGATTCCGATATACAAAATTCTTATGCGCAAGTCTCCCGATCGGCTACTCAGTGAGATAACTGGAAGTGAAGAAGGAGGCTTATCGGTGTAAACCGGATGAAATGCATGAGCACTTATATCTATACACTTACTCCTCAGCAAATGAAGCTATTTCTTGATCAATAACATCTACTTATCCTTAGGAGATTCTTGATTGTCACAACGTGGCCTTTCATTTGATGACTTCCAATATTGGGCCACTGTATCAGATATCATGGACCATTAAAACGTTAACTACTTCTGTGTGCAGTGTCATTCATTCATTGATCATCTGAGTTGCACTGGTAAAATACACCTTGAACGCCACTTTTTCGCCTGATCATATACACTTGGAATTCGTCACCTCTTTAGACTAGAAATTATTCTTCCTAAGACATAAGCTATAGTTCAATCTTTTATAAAGTGGAGAATAAGTTTGAGTTTTCCCGCGTAAACATTAACACCCTACGTGTAATTTGTAAATAAACTTCCAACTTTAATAACTGGTTTCATTAAACGATTTTTTCACAGATGTTTCTATTTACTTTTTCTTTTCACAGGCATTGTTTACTAATTTACCAAAATCAACTAGCCATCGTAAGTAAAAATAATTCTGTACTTAAACGACATGTTCAGACTATTTCTTGCCTTTTTTTTTATAAAACAGGGATGTTTTTTAACGGAATCCTTAATATTTTTGTATATTTGGTGTTTAGTCTGAAATTGAGACCTTTCTGCAACATAATTTAAGTTGAAAATCAACATTTAGGTACAATTTTCATAGTTTAAATCACTATCTGACCTTAGATCAACATTGGAAACCAGGATGTACTGGGCATCTGCTTCGTCTTAGTGGGGGACTCTTTAGCAGTGTGCATCCATAGCCAAACAGGGAATCAGTCAGTCAGTCAGCTACAACGTAGGACCAGGCACATGTATGCATCGGCCCAGGTTGCCATACCTCATTAGCACAGCAAGATGAACACCGGATTCATAGGAGTGGTTAGGTCAAAGGTGGTAATATATAGGAGAAAGATTGCAATAAGGATATAGTATAGGAAGAAAGAATTAGTTCGTAGAAAGAAAGATGTGAAGTGATCTTAATCTCTTAGTTTAAGAGAAGACAGAGAGTGTATACACCGACGCCATTGTGATCGATTCTGAGCCATGTCACCAAGGGTCTCCAACCATTGGTTACGAAAGTCACGCGGACCCCAACCAAGTAGTCTGCATCTACCAACATGGCTCAGACTAGAAGTTAGTGACTTCAGGCACTGATGCCACGTTTTGGTTTGGCCGCCCCTAACTTTCTTCCAACCATCCCCTACACCGGTTAGCATTGCACGTCGCGGTAATCGGTGTTCAGGCATACGTAATACGTGGCCCAACCATCTCAGTCGATGAAGATTCATAACCTCATCAACTGATTTACCATCATTCCCTAATACCCTGCGTCTAACCTCACTATTACTTACCCGGTGATCCCAGCAGATGCCAGCAATATTTCTAAGGCATCTGTGGTCAAATACTAGTAGCTTACGGGTGTCTTCTACTCTTAAGGGCCATGTTTCGCTGCCGTAAATTAAAACAGAACGGACAGCCGCGCAGTATACTCGTCCTTTTATTGATAGACGGATATCTCGCCTCCGCCAAAGGTGACGTAAGTTGGCAAAAGCCAAACGAGCTTTACGAATCCGTGCTGAGATTTCGTCAGACACCAACCCATTAGGGCTGATCAGACTTCCAAGATAAGTGAAGTTGTCAACGCGTTCGACTACTTCACTCCCTATCCTTAGTTCAGGTGTTGACGCAGACCAGTCCTGAAGCAACAACTTGCATTTAGAGGGAGAGAAGCGCATCCCAAACATTCTGGCATTGTTGCTTAGTGCTACCAGAAGACTCTGCATTTTGTCAGCGTCTTCACCAAACAGGACTATGTCATCTGCATATTCTAAGTCGATAAGTGGACCTCCTGGAAGGAGATCAATACCCGAGAATTCAGTCGACGAGAGTGTTATTTCCATCAATAGGTCTATGATGAAGATAAACAAAAATGGAGAAAGTGGGCAGCCTTGACGGACACCACTTGAGGTTGCAAAAGTAGATGACAGTTCGCCATAAGCCCTGACTCGACTAGTAGTGTTCGAGTAAAGAGCCTTCACAAGGTTTATGTACTTCTGAGGTACGCCTTTCAATGACAGACACTGCCACAGAGTCTCGCGGTCTACAGAGTCAAATGCTGCTTTTAAGTCAAGAAAGACCACCATCGTCGGACGCCGATAGGTATGCCTGTGTTCTAGAACCTGACGAATGGTGAATATGTGGTCGATGCAGCCACGACCAGGTCTAAAGCCAGCTTGGTTCTCTCGTGTTTGTAGTTCACGAGTCTTAGTTAGGCGTTTGATAATTATCGAGGCCAGTATTTTAGATACTATGTTTGTTAAACTAATCCCTCTGTGGTTGTCACAGGATGATTTTGACCCTTTCTTATATATTGGGACGATAAGTGATTGCGACCAGTCAGATGGGATAACGTCTAATTCCCAGATCTTAGCTAAAATATTAGTCAACCTAATCGCTAAAATTGGACCACCATCCTTAAAGACCTCTGGAGCCAATCCATCTGGACCAGCTGCCCTTCCTCGTTTCAGATTAACTATAGCCTTCTCAACTTCAGCAAGAGTTGGGGGACCTACTTCAATGTTCCATTCACTTTGTCTGGGAATGGAGGGTAGTTGTAGAGTAGCTGAAGGCCAGCTGAACTGTTCTCTAAAATGTTCCGCCCATCGTTCTAAACGTCTGGACTGGGAGCAGATGAGAGTATCATCTTTTTCCGAAATAATCTCACTTACACTTGACTTATTAATTCCAGTTTCTTTTATTAGTCTGTAAAGCTGTCTTGTGTTCCCTATAGTCGCCGCCTTTTCCATCTCTTTTGCTTTCGTTACCCACCACTGCTCACGGTCGTTCCTTAGACTTTTTCTTAACCTAGATCTGATTTGTTTACGCTCTTCATCATGTTCAGAACCTGATGGGACGAGTTTGCGAGAATCCATCAGTGTGACAGACCTTGAAGAAATCCACTGGTTCCTTGTAACTCTGTGGTTTAAGTCACTAATAGATGTCACTGCTGTTTCCACAGCTGCTTGTATGCCCTTCCAAGCAACATCTGGGTCAGCCTCGTCTTCACAACTACCTAAGTGTGACCTCAGTTGTTCCTGGAACCTACTTTTGGTTTTCTCGTTACTCAACTCAGTTCTAATGGGTCTTTTTAATGTGGCTTTTTTGCGTCCAGTGAGGCGCAAGCAGATGCGTGCCCGTATTAGGGCATGGTCGGAGTCCAAGCAGGTACTCCAGAATGAGCGACAATCTTCTACCGACCCTCTCCAACGATGACTGATGGCAATATGGTCTATTTGAGTCCATCGTTGGTTTGGTGTAGGGGGTCGCCATGTTAGACGATGTCTCTCCTTATGCTTAAAATTTGTGTTTGCTAAAAATAAACGATTGTCTGAGCATAGCTGCAGCAGACGATCACCATTATCTGTTCGCTGTGTCGGAATACTAAAATATCCACCTAAATGCCTTTCTGTTTGGTTTAAACTGCCTATCTGAGCATTAAAATCACCTGCTACGAGTACTATGTCTGAGCGTTTAGCTTTCTGAAGAAGTTCGGACAGCTTTCTGTAAAATTCATCTTTCACTTCATCTGAGCTGCAGTCAGTGGGAGCGTAGGCAGAAACGACAAAAAGGCAACGACGTGTGTCCCTATCCTTCCGAGTTCTTACGTAGCCGTTCAGCCGAACAGCACATAGACGACTGTTGACGGGGATCCACTCTAGCAGTGCTTGTTCGGCCCTCATGCTTAGTGCTATGCCTACACCTGCCAGTCCACGAGAACTTGCCATCGGGTCACCAGACACACGAAGGGTGTATCTCGTTGGCTCTCCGTCTTGCCGAGGTGAGGTCAAGTGAATGACCACACTGGAATCCTGTATGCGTGTTTCGGAGACACAGCATACATCAATGGAAAGAGACTCTAGGGTTTTAGCCAAGGAAGCCTGCTGACCGATTTGACATAGGGTGCGTACGTTGAAGGCTCCAATGTGTAGTTTGGAGCGAGGTTTCAGTAGACCTGGGACAGTGTTTTGCGCACTAGAATCGTTGGCTACGGTGACACTTGAGGTGGAAGCCGAGAGAGGAAATATAGAGTTGAAAGTCGATGTAGGAGGAATAATAGGAATTGAAGAGGAGGTTGATTATGAATACAGTGGTCTTGAGTGCTGTTAGAAGTATGAGGGCGGTTATCACTTCCCGGTTGCCCACACCGTGGAAGGGTTGTTCTGGAGGTACCTGAAAAGGAAATTGGATTAGAAGTGGTCTTAGTGACCTGAGAGCGTGACCGCAGTGCCCAAGGGACAACTGCTTGAGGTCGGTCACACACGACCTTGTTATGGGTAATTTTTGTGTTAGCTCCGTACTTATTGAGACCTTACCGCCGGAGACGGATATCCGTGGGATAAGGCGAGGTGTGCATTTTTAGGGTCGACCTTTTCTAACCCCACCCCTCCTTGTGGGAAGGCAGCATCGCTGTCATGCTGGTTGTCTGAAGGAAACACCTTACTGCTGTCACACCTCTGTACAGTCAGCAGTACGACTTCGCCTTCGGACCTTGGGTTTGTTGCTTTTAGTCTTACCGCTCTTCAACCGACCTGTCTGACATGGTAGGACCTTGAGGAACGGTTGTTCCAGCCAGTATAGCTCGGTTGCTTCATCACGATAGGCAAGCCCGACCACCACGTCAAGGTAGCAACAACGGTCAGGAAACAGGGAATCAAACCCAGAACCATTGGTTTTGCGCTTGGACACTCAACATCTGGCATCCGGCATCCAATGGTATACATGTCTAACTTCAGTCGATTCACGAAATTGCGACACCATCTTGCATTCCATGTGGTGGGTGGCTATCTTATGCACAACACGAATAAACCCCACCGGTCATGCTTTCTTTGTGATGAGGTCGCGAATGGGCATTTCCGAGGAGTCCTATACTAAGACGAAGCAACTGTTCAGTGCTCCTGGTTTTTATTAGTGGTCTTGATTTAAACCATGAAAATTTTACGGTCACGAAAACCTATCCTGAATTAATGGTAAATATGGTAATCTTAATTCTTACAATAATATTTCCTTATAGTTTTGCTAATATTTGGGGGCTTATTCTCGAACTTGTACTAATGCATCTAGAGACTATGTACAAAACTATACTATATATAAAACAATTTAACGATTTATTAACGACGAGAATCTATATCCCAGTGTAGGCTGTTAACGTATAAACTAAGAAACTTGCTTTGTCTTCATTGCTAGATGTGTCCGGGATTTAAGAATTAGAAATCTGTTTGATAGTGAATGGATATAAACCCAGTGGTAACAGCTAAATATATATAGTACAAAAAACAGTTGAAAATGGTTCTTTTACTGCACTTGGATTTACACTTTACTAGGTAAGCGCTAGAGATACTAATATAGAATAGGTCAAACTAATATGAATAACGGAGCATGATGAGTTTTATGATAATTGACACTCGCCGGTAAAGTGTGCCTGTAATCTCAAGAAGACTAGTGCCCACGAGCGGACTCGATTCCGTACCACTTAGCTTCACAGTCGGAGCTGTGGTTGACCTCCTTTTAGAGTGAGATGTATCTAAGATTGATTAATCACCGAGTAGTGACCGATTTCTTTCATGTCAAGTCCTTAGTGCTGATCAACTATCGGTACACAGTTTACTGTCGATTACGGTCAATCGTCACGTTAGATCTCAACACAGTGCATGTGATATCAATAGACTTAGATAACTATTGGTTACATTGCGAACTAATCGATAGAACTTGGTTAACATTATGAGGGACTTGATATACGTGACTCTGGTCACTATGCAGTGATCTATCAGTTGTAAATAAAGTTCTTTTTCCTCTATTCATTAAACTTATTATGTAAATTAGTCAGTTAATATTCTATACTAATGTATCTGTTGTTCACTTTTTTCTTTCAGTTCCTGATCACGTAAATAATATTTTAGTATCAAAACAATCTTCTATGCCCTACATTATTCAACATTCATCTAATAACCAAATAACATTACCAGTAGATTGTGCAAATATGAATGATGCACATTTAGTTGACGATAATACTTATATGAATACATCTTTAAATCATTCTTTCCCGCATACAACTGTTATGAATTCAAATACATCGGAAAGTTTCTCTCCTACTAATAATACAGGTCAAATGCAGTGTACATTATTGACACCAACACCGTATACTCAAGATTTAAAAGTTGATCAACCTATATTTATTTTATCATCTGTTGTATCCAATAATCATTCTAATCAAAATATACTGAATACAAATCTAACCTCCTCAGTGAATATGGAACCTGAACGTAAGCTTTTGGAATTATTATTACTAATTTTATTACAAACATATGCATTAAAAGCGTATTATATAGATATTAGACTATTTCGGGTTAGTCCTTAAACATCGAAATCCTTTTAATTATAGTGGATATTTGTATTTTATCCACGCGGTTGGTTTGCACAAACGTCCCCAAAGCTGAGATGATTTGTCACTGCTTCATTGAGTGCGATAGATATAGCTGCTAAAACATGACTGGAAGCGGTGGCTCAGTAGTTAAGGTGTTCAACTTCCGACTAATAAGTCGCAGGTCCGAACCCCGCCCTACTTATTTCGGTCAAGCGAACGGAGTAAATCATTGATTTAAAAGTTATTTTTACTTACAATTCCTTGAATTAAATCGTTCTTCTCAAGTCATACCCCTATGCTTGATATTCTTTCCTATCATTCATGCTACTACTTCTCCTTTGGTATTCATCTTACTGTGATGTAATATGGCAACTTAGACTGACCCACACAAGTACTAGGTTCTTCATTGCTTATGACCAACTGTTTCCGATAAATACCACTACATTTCTTTCCTTTGCTTCTGAATTCTTCTTTAGTTTCATGTTTGTAAAAGTAAATGCATGTGCAAACTACCTAAAATAAATAATTTTCCCTGAATAAAATGAAGTCAGAATTCACACAAAGAATGCGACAACCTGGTTTGTGTCTGTGCGAGTATTATAATTCACGGTTATAGACATTAAGTTCAATGTCTCAAAATCCTTACCAGTGACTCAGACATATTCACTTTATCTCTTCTTAGAACCTGACTCTCGACATCTTTTTGTACTTTTTTCCTTCTTCCTACACCTTATCTTTTTTTTACAACTACTGGTAGTGTTACTGCTTCTATTACTTTGCAACGTTTCTTAAAATTTCATCTCACTGTGCTAATGTGGAGTGATAACTCGAATCGATACCCATGTGTGTCAGGTTCTGCGTTGCGTATGACTGACTGACTGAGAAGCAGTAGTACATTTCTATTATGCAACCTTAAATGATTGCTTTCTTGTGCAAATTCAACACAACTTACAATTAGTAATTTGGTCATGAGATTAGTTAAACTGGATAATGAGGTTATCAGGCTTTAATGAGTGAGGTCGTTGTAACACACACCATACACTCTCAACAGCTGTACATGTTAGAGTATCATGATAAATGAAATAGGAGGAATTAAGAATAATGCTAATAGTGCTTATGGACTAGAATATGACACTTCGACTGTTAATCTGAGATGTGTGTACAAAAATAGTCTTGTTGATTGATATTTTTTATAAAATGGCTATATACATTGGTTTCTGGTTTTCTTCCAGAAATAAACCATTGTTCGGCAAACTTTCGATGCTAATTGTTGGTTGTAGTGCAAATTCATCTACTTAATCTCTTCTCTAGGTTTTTGTTAAGTCTTGCTGATTTCGACGCTATATTCGTTCCTAAGCTATTCTGATAACCCACATGCTAAAACTATACAGCGACTTGAACACCAGAAAGAAGAAGCAAAGTATGAAAGAAACACTTTACTTCAAGGTTCGTTCTTGCACAGAAAATATGGGTATTTATAGATGTTAGCGTTTGTTAAATCAACATCATATTTCGACCAATCCGTTAACGACATAATAAGGTACTGATCAATAGTAGCACACCACGTTGGAATTCTAGAATGCTCCATCGTGCTCTGATTGGCTAGGACTCTTCAGCTCCTTTTGGGCCTCTGGAGGCTCCGTTGAAGTTCTCCGAAAGCCGACTCAACAGTTCTTGATAGTAAATACTTTATATTTTTTTATTCCGCCAATTTATCCTTTCTTTTCGAACTCTATTTAATCTCTTTTATTTAAACTATCATTGATAATATTATCATGTTGCCTATGCTGATGCGGTAGTTCAGAGATTTACACTGATCTATATTTATGTCAGGCGCTATATTGATTATGACTAACTGATTGTACATATTGTAGTTTATAAGTTATTCAACACAATTGATATTAATGTTGTATGTAAAATTCAAAATTCAAGTTTTAAAGTCAAACAACAATAGTGATAATTATAATTCCTGTGATCTTCTAAAACATAACAATTTTGAGAATGTACACATTGAAACAACTTTCACTTTTCTATGTTACACACTAACTAACAGTGTGTATAGTTTAAAGAAAAAAAAGTATAATTGGTGAATATTTTATTCATATTAACTTTGATCATCTTTTTATATTAATATTGAAGTATATTAATGAATTAATTAAAGATTCTGTTTACTCATTTAGAGAAATTATTTTGATTTTTAATTATTTAATCTCTTATTGTCTTGTGAATAACATTAGTTGTTAAGTGTCAGTTAGTTCGCTAAAAATGTTCATTAATAGTTGATAATTTACTTGACATGTTGTAGTTAAAATTTTCGCTCTGTGTAATGGAACCATTGAAAATTGGGAGATTTGACCTTAATGTATAGAGTTTCTAAATAGGATTCATAATTAGGTTGATTGCAACCTAAAAGTATAGCTGGCTAAAATATTTAAAATATCGGTTATATATTTCTAAACATTTTGAAGATCCGGTATTTAGTCAAGATGAAATGTGTTGGGTATTCTTAAAAATGTCGTTCTTCAAAGTCTATAGAGGTCCCGAGACCCCAAATCCCCTGGTACGGCCAAGGATGTAGAGATTTTTCCCTCCCTCTCGAAATGCTCTTACATGGCCATGCATATACAGACGTTGCCAGGGAATTCCTACCCTCTGTAAAATTGAGAGGACGAAAGCGAATGTCCGGGTTAGCAGGTTCAGAGGAATCCACCTAGGGGAGTCGGAAAATCCTAATTCCAAACCATGGGCTCCAGGATCCTGAGGGGAAAAATGGCGTATGAATTTATTGTTGATCACCGGCTGCCATGGGACTGCATCATCTAACGTTGCTCTACTATCTTGTAGATTAGACCTCTAGGTCAAAGACTCGGTAGTTGGCCGCCTAGGAAAACTACCTGCTTCTGTTTGGGCACTCGGGGAGTATCCCGGTTAACACACAGATCCAGTGGTTTGTGTGGCGCATATATGTATTTGGTGTCTCCTTGTACCAGTGTTTATGTGTTTCAATAATAATAATGTTTCAGGAAACGTGTGGGGATGTTTCATTTAATCACTACTCAGTTGTAAACGTCTGGGAAAATTAACGATAATATATTACGTTGTAATTGGGTAATTAATGTCGATACTACATTTGATGTGTTTCCAAAATTTTCTATGGGATGAAGTCCACAAGAAACTGAATACACTTGATTTTCTACCTTGGAATAAAGTTCCTATTCCTATTTCTCTTTCCCTCATTGTTCAAATAATGTAGAAGTAGTATGGGTTGTAGCAAACTTACTTAAAATGTCCATGCATTCACAATAATAAACTTTGTGTCGCATTAATGCTATTGTAGTGAACGAAAACACAGGTGGGTACAACCAAATGTATTTAAACACAAAATTAAAGAATCTGTTAGAATAGACGATCTAATAACCGGAATCTAAGTGACCTAACCACTAAGTCACTGTTCCAACTACCTCAGTTAATAGAGGTTCACAGCTTCATTGAACCATTCATTGTCATTGCCTAATATCCTATCATCATGCAGCTGCACCATAATATCGAATTAGAAAATAAAAGGAAGACGAATGTAAATTTTCAACCGTATTGTTTCTTTGAGCAAGATTTTTTTATTACGAAGTTTTTATTTTCAATATCATTAGCTCTCGTTTCACGTAAAAGTGAACTGTTTAATTAGTAATCCATAAACCTTAAATAGGACTATTCTAATGACCTTGCCCACGAATGGCTGTTTTCATAGGTCTAGTCCACCTCATTTTGCTTAACATTCCTGTCGAACATTTTGTTCTGTTGATCATATGGTTCATTGATCTTTTTCACACAGACTGGTAGATTGGTTCCATGTTGATATGCTTAATGATTATAGATTGACATGAGGAACGTGTTTTTAGGAGCTCTGGCATTCTTCGAATTTTCCCGATCCATAATTTTGACGCTTTTCTAAATTGTTGTAACGCGTGTGTGTGGGACTGCAGGTTTTGATAAGCAGCGTATTTATCGATCGCCTCTGTGATAGTGGACACGGAAAACACGTATGAACGACCTAGTGCCCTGATTGGTCCCGCTTCGCAGTCTGTCCCAGCCAGTTGAGTCAAGAACGCAAGTCAGCCTCTGAGTTATGAATCATTGTATTTCAAACATACTCTATTTATATACCAAGCAAACAACCCACATCGTACCATAAAATAGGAAACAACATTTGTACAATATTTAACAAGTGAAATAAACATCGACCAATAAGAAATGTACATTTAAGGTTCAAGGACACCATTGAACTTAACATGGTAATTATTGGTCTCTTTTTCCGACTATCCCAACACCTCCCCTTTTTCGAAAGATGCGGAGTTCATATCTGCGTTTTAAAATTTTCTGCGTCCGTCCTCCCCCGCGAAATAACGTTGGGTCCTCATATACCCAAGCAACAGTTAGTCTGACTCTATTTAAAGCATATTTCGCGCATTGAGTAGAGGGTTCATTAAAAGTGACTAGATGATGAGGATTAGCGACACCAGACATGACGTCATTAAGGTTTGATTTTCGTGCAACATATCCTTCAGACCTCTTCAAAATGCGATCACTGGATAATAGGTCACTAAAACAAACAGCATCTTTGAAATTCATATCAGATTTCTGACCATCATTTGATGCACGGGAAACATTTTCTGGCACGAGAGGTTCTTCTTGTAAGCTGGATACCTCACATGTTTCAGGCACAGTGGGATTTGAACCCACAACAGGGCATACTTCTGAATTGGACAATTCTGGATCTCTGGATGGATCATGGGCGACTGCCTCGTTTGCATTACTGATCGTGAGGGATTCATAGAGGCTTTTGTTTTCATCTTCATATGTCCTGCAGTCATTCTCGAGTTCAGTATGCAGGTGAGAAATTAG